TTCGACTTCTCGCTTCATAACACTAGGCACTTTCCCATTATCTCCCTCTGTCTCTCTCTCTCTCTATACCTGTACCTATCTATATATATATATAGACGCATACGAGTTGATAGCCAAGCAATATCCAGATCAGTTTTAACTTCAAAATCAGAACACAAAACACCCATTGAAATTTGAAATGGTTACACCAACCAAAACAGCAGTGTTTTTGATGGTGCTCTTCTTGGCAGCACCAACTTTTCAGAAAACAAACGCAGAAGATCACGACGTCGGCGACGATACCGATTGGCAAATCCCTAACGACGTTAATTTCTACTCCAACTGGGCTGCCCAAGAAACCTTCAGAGTGGGCGACACGCTTGGTATTTTTTCGTTAAACCCCACACCACCGTACATTTTTGAACCATTAATTACCCATCTATCATTTTCGTTTTCATTCTTTGCAGAGTTCGAATTTACAACTGGACAGCAGGATGTTGCGGAAGTCACCAAGGAAGCTTTTGACACGTGCAACACCTCCAATCCCATCTCTCTTATGAGGACCGGACCAGCCACTTTCATCCTCAACGCTACCGGTACCCGCTACTTCATCTGCACACTTCCCAATCACTGTACCAGAGGTCAGAAATTAGCCATTAACGTCCTTGGTGCCAACGCTCCCCCTGCCCACACACTGGATCCGGAAGATCATGATGTCGGTGACGATGCCGATTGGCGAGTCCCTAACGACGTCAATTTCTACGCTGCCTGGGCTGCGCGACAAATCTTCAGAGTTGGCGACACACTCGGTAAATCTGTTTTAACATAACTATAGATCCAAACAATAGGCCAGAGTTTAATTAACCCTTTATCCATCAATTCTATTATATAATATGCATATATATTTTCTGCAGAGTTCGATTTTACCACCGGAGAGCAGGATGTTGCGGTCGTCACAAAGGCAGCTTTCGACGCTTGCAACCCTTCTAATCCTATCTCTCTTTTCAAAACTGGACCTGCAAAGATTTTCCTCAACACCACCGGTGCCCACTACTACATCTGCACGTTTCCAAACCAATGTACCAGAGGCCAGAAACTAGCCATTAATGTCGTCGGTGCTAATGGTCCGGTCACCCCGACGCCGGCTACCCCTGCTTCTCCTGGGACACCAACTCCCACTGCGCCTGCTACTCCGACTACTCCAGCTTCTGAACAGGCTAACTCCACGAGGCCTGGGACATCCACTGTGCCCAGCTCTGCCTCTGCTCGATCTATAGCTACTGTCTTGGTTATCTGGATGCCTTTTGTGATAGGGTGGTTGTGCTAGACTGGGACTGGTGCGTGTGCTATTATTATGTTCATTCCTTGACGGTGTCTCTGTAATATGAAGTTGATGGATTAGTAATAATTTTTGTGGTTGGTTATGTAAAAATAAGAATAAAATAAAGGATAAATTATTATTGACATTATAATTTTGTTTTAATAAAAATAGGCTTCAAATTATATTAATAAGCTTCTGGGTACTTTAGATATTGAAATTTTAGTATTTATTTTGATCAAAGTAATTTACACTTGATAATAATTATTTGCAAAATATGGATTTTGATCACCTTTGGAAGCAATTATGGAATTTTCTGAAATTAAATTATAATTTAGTAATTAAAATGTTAATAACTTAGTCTTATTAAATTATATTTGTATACGTTCGCTAACAAAAAAAAAATAGTAATAAACATATTCATTCATATTGGAATAGTCTTTTTTTTTTAAATGACACTTTATTAAAGAAATTAGCGCAGATAATTATGTAGTATTTAAATATAATAAAAAGTATGTAATGCATAACATAACCCAAACTCATAATTGCGTTAAAAAGAAAAAAAAAAGCATCAGAAATATATAAGAGATGATTATTATTATTATTATTATTGTTATAAAGAGAAGCAAAAGTTAAGAAAAATTAAGAAGTCGTCATGCACATCCTAAGCCAAGACACGCTTATGATATAATCAGTAAGGAGCTGCTGGAGATCATCCGACACTTGAGCATATGGGTGGAGACCCATCTGTAGAGAGAAGCCAGCATTCGCCTCCCAGTCAGTACATTTGTTTCCTTCGCGACAGATATATGAATTCGAACCTGTCAATCCTGCAGCAAGCAAGTACTTGATTGCATAGACGAGGACAACATACGCATTAATATCATAATACTCATTAGTGAGTAACTGTACAGTTAGAGAATTATCCATTTATAGGATGATGTTGCGAAACTCGACATTTTAAACGAGTTGAAGGTCATCATAGACTCTCCAAAGTTCAACCTATAGTACTGAATAATTACCAATTTTTCTACTGAAGCTTCTCAAGCAAACACTATCCTTGTCTCTGATAAGTCTATCATAATAGGAGAGATTAGTTGTAGCACGATAAACACCATCAGTGTTCACCTTCAGCTATCCTCTAAGTGGTTTATGTTATGCAATAAGTTCTTCATATATGTGCACCATACCTAGAAGGTAAAAAAAAATTCATATTAGTAGTCATAAAAATATAATCAATTATGAGAAAAACTTTTTTAGCAAATTTTTCGATATTGTTGTCACGCCTCTAAAAAACAAATTTATTTCTATGATTCCACAAAATTCAATAAGTAAGGCAAAAAGTCATTTTCCAATCCTAAAATGTTTTGCACCAAAACCAACTATTTTTGAGGTTCAACATTTACCAATCATGTACAGCAACATTGAAAAAGGTTGATTGGACTTCGACGAGAATGATTTTTAACCACAGCAGTTTAGCAACACTACACTCATGGAGGATGTGATCCACGTCTTCAACATGTCCGCTACATCTACTGCATTCTGCAATAGAGGTCACATATCATGTGACGCTAGTATCGCTCCCAATTCGTCAACATCTTTTCCTTAGCAGCTAGCCAAAGGAAAGTACGCACCCGCTGTGTAGCACCCGGAAAGGAGAAAAAAAAAAAAAAAAAAAAAAAAAAAAGAAAGAAAGGGCGGCCACGTCAGCAGCCACGTCAGCATGCCCGGTCAGCAGTCCCGGCCAACCAGGGCCTGCCACGTGGCAAGACCGCGTCACTCCAAAGGGAGCCACGTTGGCGATCCGCGTGGGTGCGATCCGACGGCCCAGATCAATCACGCGATCGGACGGCCCAGATTCAATCGCACGGACGGCCCAGATTCAATCAAAAACGAACGGCCCAGATTAAAACAAAATGAACGGCTGTGATCAAAAGGCAAGGGGTTATAAATAGAACCTCCACACCAGACCACAAACCCTAGCCGCCAGCCGCTCGCCGGAGAAGACGAACCAGAGGCCGACCGCCGCCACCCGCCGCCACTCGCCGCCGCACCGGGGAAATTTCCGACCGCCGATCGAGGTAAATTTCATACCCCCGACTCGTTTTTCCCCACTGATTCCTCCTATGGCCAAATCGAAGCCGAAATCCCGGCCAAACGGCCGGAATACGCGGCCGAAGCCCAGCGGCACCGCCGCGCCCCCTCTCGGTTTTTGCCTCCGACGAGGCCCTTCCCGGCCTCCGTTCGATGCAATTTTTATATCACCGTGATCACCATTCTTTTCTCTACAGGTTGACCGAAGCCAAATCACCAAAACACGAACTTCGCCGGAGAGTCGCCGTACCCGAGAGCGCCGCCGCCGGTAAGCTCCGCTTTTCCGTGATTTTTTGGCCCCCCGAGGGCCCTAGGGTTGTTTTCTGACAAGGACCAATGCGAGTGTGGCCGAATTCGGCCAAAAGCGGCCGAAAACAGTCAACCCGAGGCGACTCGCCGCCGCCAGCGGCGGCGCCGTCGCCGGAGCACGGCGGAGCCGCCGTGCCGGAGTTGCGATTTGGGCCGAAAGAGGCCCTGGGCCTAATTTGGATTTTTTTTTGGAACCCGTGCAGGTACTGTTAGCGTGTTTCAGTTCCCCGGGAAAAATTCAGGGGAAAATTAGGGACAGCCTGCAGGCGCACTGTGAATCGTATTCGGATCCCGAAAACAAGTAAGGACCCCTCACCCTATTTCCTATCACGGTATTAAAGTTCAAAATGATAAAACGGTATTTCTTGAATTAACGCATGTGTGAAATTGCTTAAGGTTGCTAATGGAGCCCGAGTCTAGTGTGATTAATGATTTACTGTTGTTTGGCATGTTTTACACTGTTTTACAGCTTTAAATGCATTATGGGGTTTGATGTGTTCATTTTATAATTTCGAATGCATATATTACTGTTTTATTAATTATGGGTTGAATGACTGAAGAACTGATACTGTATGTTGTCTGTTTGGCATGAACTACTGTTTGCTTGTTTGTATGTGAATTGATGATGCTTATTGAGGAAAAGGAAAATGAAAGATTGTGTAGACTGATAATTGTATGATGGGGTCAGCCTGACTAGATATCCTGGGAGATGGTGGACGGACCGGGTCCGTAGGGAACCCTACCGGGATTGTGGTCTCACATGCCGGACGGGGTATGGAGATCTTATGGTTTTGGCGCCCATACCGGACGGGGTATGGGGACGGCCCGTTTCACCCTCATACCGGACGGGGTATTGAGGTTTATGGTTTTGGCGCCCATACCGGACGGGGTATGGGGACGGCCCGTTTCACCCTCATACCGGACGGGGTATTGAGGTTTATGGTTTTGGCGCCCATACCGGACGGGGTATGGGGACGGTCCTGGAAACTGATTATGAATGTTAAAGGTTAACGGGTAGCGGAACCCCTATGGACCCCCACGGATACTAGTAGGCTGGTAAATGAAAAAAAAAGATATGTTGTACAATGATTGAATTACAAGAGGCGTGATAAGTGTTATGTTTTACAGCTTAGATTATTCAATGATTATGATAATGTTATTGTTTTTCTCATATTGTTTTTCATAAATTCCACCAAGGTAAGTGGATGGTAAAAGTTTTATTATTGATAAAAGGTTTTGTTGTTAATAAACGAGTTTATTGTAAATTATGCTCCATTGGTCTTTTTGGGGTTTTCTACCCACCTTTATCTCCGTGACGGTGAGATATCGTGATGTTCTTACTGGGCTAGTGTAGCTCACTCCTTAATTAACCATTTCAGATCAGGAAGACATGGTTCCCGAGCCCGTTCCGCAGGAGGACGACGAAGGGGATGCCTAGAGACTCTGTAGTCATATGCATAGTTTATTGTCGAGTTTTCTTTCTTAGTTAGTTTAACCTTTTATATTTTAAGTACGTTTGTTTGGTTTTTCGTGTAAGGGATGTTAAATGAAATTTTGATCTCGCTTCCGCATTTGATATATTTAAATACTCATTTCATTTTAATATTTTCCGGGGTCGTTTCAGTTGGTATCAGAGCCGCATTTCCTCGGACCCATCCCTTACACTATAGTCCTTTAAAGAAATACTCACCGATTGGTCGTTACTCAACCATTCCTTGTAAATGCAGGTACACAGAAATGAGGAGAGGAAGGCCCCCACTAAACCGAGCGGCCCAAGATAATTCGCTTCGGGAGGATTTGGACAGATTATATGAGATGGTGGAAGCTCTCGTAGCTGCTCAGCGAAGGCAAGAGGAGAGAAGGGAGTTACCCGGACCTCCTCCGCTAGCGCAGGTTGAGCCCCCGTTACAGCAGGCTGATCCCGAGCCACCCCGGCAGGAGCCTGTTCCTCCACAGTACCACCCGGCACCACAGCCGCGGTACGACCCGGTACCACAGCCACGGTACCAACAGGTACCGCCACAGCACATTCCAGTGCCCCCACCCCATCAGCAGGCGCCACCACAGGGTCCCCCAGTTCACCCTCAGCCGACCCCAGTTCCTTTACCTCGGGACCCCGCTCCCTCCTTGATCGACCCTGGCTTCATAGAGAGGTACAGGAGACTGAACCCTTCTACTTTTTCGGGGGAATCCTCTTTTGAAGAGGCCCAATACTGGCTGGCGGAGACTGAGCGAGCCTTTGAGACCTTAGGAGTAATTCCTGAGCAGAGGGCTGCCATTGCCTCCTACATGCTGGTAGGGGAAGCAGTACGCTGGTGGGAGCTCAAGCGGGCCACCCTGCCTGTACCAGTTACTTGGGAGCAGTTCCTAGCGGCTTTCCATGCGGAGTATCTCCCTAAGCACATCCAACATTTAAAGGAAATTGAATTTGCTCAGTTGGTCCAGGGTAATATGACAGTGTCGGAGTATGCCCGCAAGTTCCTGGAGCTGGGTCGACATGCCCCGGAGACATTGTTGGATGAGGGCCGAAAGGCCAGGAAATTCCAGTGGGGTCTCCGCCCGGCGATCAGACAGCACTTGTTGGTGATGGAGCTCGAGACATATTCGGCAGTCCTGGCAAAGGCGCAGATCATAGAAAGGAGCTTCGACACCCGCCCTCAGCTAGCGGGAAGTTCCCGACCTTCAGCCCCGCTCCGCAGGCCAGCGCCTAC